GGTGCAGAATCCAGCACTTTCCCTTGTTAAACTTCATATAGTTCATGACTGCCCAGTCCTCTAATTTGTCAAGGTCTCTCTGCAGGGCAGGGAATTAACAGCTCCTCCCATTTCAGTGTCATTGGCAAACTTACTTATTATTCCTTCAAGTCCTGTGTTGACATCATTAATGAAGATGTCGAACAGCACGGGACCCAAGATGGAGCCCTGTGGAACCCCACTAATGACTGAATGCTGGTCTGATGTTGTTACTCCATTCACTATAACTCTCTGTGCCCAACCTGTGAGCCAGTTGCTCACCCATCACGTAACACAGTTATCCAGTTGTGTGCTGGACATTTTGTCCAGAAGGGTACTGTGAGAGTAGTAACCTACTACTCTCCAGTAGCGAGAGTTTTGTTACTGAAAAGTATCAAAAGCTTTGCTGAAGTCTGAAAACATTACATCTAATGGATTTCCTAAATCAAGGAGGCTACCTTGTCATAGAAGGAAATCAGGTTTGACAAGCAGGACTTTCCCTCACGAAGCTGTGCTGGCTGTGACCAATGACTGCATTGTCCTCCAGGTGTTTTTCAGTACCGCCCAGAATAATCTCCATACTGAAGTGAGACTGACAAGCTGTAGTTCCACAGTCCTCTTTCTTGCCATTCTTGAAAATTGGGACCAGTCAGCTGGGACCTCTCCAGATTCCCAAGACCACCTGAAAATCACTGAGAGAGGTTTTGCAGTGACATCAGTTAGCTCCTCAGAGATTCTTGGACGAATCCCATCAGGCCTCATACATTTACAGGGATCCAGCTCAAGCACCAGATCCCACACAAGTCCAGGGTGAACTCGCAGTCATGGTTTTGAAGCTCAGGCACTGAGATCCTCTTGGTCTGCCATCCATGCTGGACAGAGGCAAAGAAAGCATTAAACATCTCTGCCTTGTCTCTGTCCCTGTTTGTGAGGTGACCATCCTCACCCTGTAGAGGACCGATGTAATTTCTACACTGTCTTTTGCTGTTAATATATTTGAAAAAACCCCTCTTTTCCTACCCTCTACATTTTTGACAGTTTCGACTCCAATTGAGCTTTGGCTGCAAAAATTTTCTCCCTACTGTGGCAAGCTGCACCTCTGTATTCTTCTCATGTCACTTGACCTTGCTTCCACTGGGCATACACTTTCCTTTTTCTCCTTATTTCCAAAAGCAGATCCCTGCTCAGCCAAGCTGGCCTTCTGCCTCATCTGCTTGACTTGCAACACTTTGGAATTGCCTGCTCCTGTGCCCTCAGGAGGTGATCTTTAAAGTGTGACCAGCATGATGGACCCCAGAACGTATAAAATAATTTTCCATGGGCACTTTACTTCCTAGCTTCCTGAGCAGCCTGAAGTCTACTCTCCTCATGCCCAGAGTTCATTCATTTTAGGACTGCTTTTACTTCAGCTGTAGTGGCAATATTCCAAGTTAAGTTTCACTGGACTATTACTGCAGAGATTACTCAGAATCACAGAATCATCAAGGTTGGAAGAGACCTTTAAGATCATCCAATCCAACCATCCACCCAGCAGTAACACTGAACCCCCTGAACCACTGAACCATCACCCAGTGCCAGATGTCTTTGAAACACCTTCAGGGATGGTGACTTCACCACCTCCCTGGGCAATGTGCTGCAAAGGACTGTTTTGATCTAAGTCCTAAGGATACAGCCTGTGTTGACTGTATTAATTTTCTTCAAACAAAATGTTTCAGAGATGGCCCCAGAGGCCTAAATCAGCAGCTCATCTGCAAGGAGTTTCTCACCCCAAACCAGTTATCAACCTACTGGTGGGAACAGGACTGTGAGGCTTTAGAAAGCACTACCATTCTCTTAAATCCCAGGATGGTGTCCTGAAATCACAGGAAAGGGAAGTCATAACTCAATCTCACCTTGATAGTGCCCCAATGCATCCAAAAGTTTTTCACCCACAGTTTCTCACTCACAGTTGGTCACTCTGCATCTCAGAAAGTCCCACAAATTGGAACAATCCCCTGGGCTGAGAACCTGCAGTCAACCACAAAGTAGGAGCAAAGAAAAACAGAAAGCTAGAAAGCTATTCAACCTTTTTTCTTTGGAAAAACACAGTGCAGCCACACAGGCACCGCTGCAATCATGCCATCCTCTTGGCATAGCTACTACAGGACTAAGACTACCATTCCTTCTTTATTGTAAGTTTCAGAGATAGAGCAGAGGGAGATGGGCCTGACAGCAGGGACCAGAGCTTCACTTGCAAACTACTTGAGGAGGAACTTTCTGTCAGGAACTAGGCTTTCAGGATGAACATACTAAAGGTGTTTGTGCAAGGCAGTCTACAGGACAACATGTTGCTTCCTGGAGGTGCCTGCAGTCAAGGTAGCAGCTGTTTGAGGAATAGCTTTTCAAAAAGCTCCAAATCATAGAATCATAGAATCAGCTGGGTTGGAAAGGACCTCTGAGATCATCAAGTCCAACCCTTGATCCAACACCACCGTGGTTACTAGACCATGGCACTAAGTGCCACATCTAGTCTCAGGCCTATAGTGGAACTGTTCAGCCTTGAAGCCAGATAATACATACTTCCAAGTAAATCCCCAAACCATGGAGAGATGAGGATTCTGAGGACAAACTGAAGGAGTATAATGTCCTTATTTTCGCTTACAGTACTGTGTTACTGTTAATGTAGATTTAGCAGTGAAATACTTGTGAGTTTCCACTGAAATTCCCATAAAACTCAAAACTAAAGCCTTTACTAAATCAAGTGCCAAGGTACTCACATTTCTTTGTTTTGTCTGCTGTAGGAAGCCTCATATGCCAGAGAAAAATAATTATCAATTAAGGGAAATAAATTAATAAAAATCCCAAGATCTTCTCCTAGAAAGATGGAATCACAATGTCAACAGCATAAAACCAACCGTTATTCTTTTTCAAAGGTCAAGCCTGTTATTTTCAGTTACAGTAGAAGCATTCATTTCATTCCTATGATCAAGATTCATCAGTGTCCTAGGTTTGCCACAAGTTCTGGTTTATCACAAAAAACCCAAAGTAACTTAGGTTACTTGGAGGTTTCTCCATCCTCTTCTGTCCTCTTCCATCCTCTTCTCCTGAAATGCTATCTTTGAAAAGGTAGCATTTGCCAATTCCAGTGACTTTACCATGATGGATTTAGCAGCACTATTTCAGAGAACTAAGATTTTGTAAAAAAACTGAGATCAGAACCAGGATGTGGTGTTTCACCTTCTCATCCATCCAATTCCTCAATAGCAGCATTCTGCATTTACATTCCAGATAGTACCACAAGTCATGACAAAGTCATTATTTTTTTCCCTTTCTTGTTATACTATTAACAAGAGATTCATTCAGAACACAAAATATTCAAGCAGTTGACATTTTGCCCTACACATTGCTTGAGGCGAGGATGGGGCAAAGACTAGGACTGGTAATCACATGCATTTACTCTATGTCTTGATTCTCACAAGATGAAACAATGCCCTTCAGTTATCATCCTCTCCCAGTAATGAAGCTTTTCTTCAGGAAGACATGATTTGATAAGGAGCTCTATGACATTTTCAGGGTGCACGAGGGCTGATATGTTGCTTGGGAACTTGATAGACTGTGATAGCGTCCACTTACAGTTTTACACACATGGGTATCTATAGAAACTTCCCTGCATCTCTTCTCCCTTTGAAACTCCAGTTGAGTTCATCTGGTATAATATAAAGCATTGAATGATTTGTACAAATTAGAGAGTTTGTGTTCCTCACTGTTCATTCTTCTTGTTCCCTTCATTTTCCCCTTCACAAAACCCATGTTGTTTAATGGGTCCAGCAAAACCAGCTACATCTTTCTGGTGTTAATCACAGCATAGTTGAGGTTGGAAGGCACCTTTGGAGTTCATGTGGTCTAACCCTCTGCTCCAGCAGGGCCACCTGGAGCTAGCTGCTCATGACTGTGTCCAGACAGCTTTTGCATATCACCAGTGTGGGAGACCTAACGTGCTCTCCAGGCAATCTGTGCCAGTGCTCAGTCACTCCCATAGAAAACAAAGTTTCCTGATGTTCAGAGCAGCTCCTGTGTTTCAGTCTGTGCTCACTGCCTCTGATCCTGTCACTGAGCACCACGATGGAAAAATATCTAAAGACAGATCACATTTTTACCATGATTAAGCAAAACACATAAGCAGAAAAATGGTCTGACCTCCCACACCTGCACTAGCTAAGAATATAAATGTTAAGACTTTTCATCTGATTTCCTAAGGAAATGGATGTTGGTTTCTCACACTGTCTGTTCTCTCCTATTTGCTTTTCAGTCTGTCAGCTGTTTTCACTACATTTAGAGCCAGGTACACAACTTCAAAGACAATTAAAAATTTTCAGTCCTTCAAACTTAAAAAATCTGTGGAAGGACAGAGAGGCTCAGATTAATGAATCATTAAGACGAATGACAAGCAGAACACGGTTCTTGTATCTTCTCTCTCTTTCGACAACATTTAAGACTGCTTGTCCATCACAGTACCTAGACCTCTGAATTAATCACAGACTGCCATTTCTTGCCTGGTCTTGTAAATGGAATTACCACAGTGTTATCACAGGCAATTCATACAAGTCCATAACAAAGGACTTGTATGGACTTGTATGAATTGCCTGTGCTAACACACAAAGGACTTGTATGGACTTGTATGAATTACAAGTCCTAACCCAGGCTTCATTAGTTCTGCAGACCATGGGATAGACTCTCTTTTTGTTGCAGTATTTGCTTATTACTACAGAATTAAACTGTATTTGCCCAAATGTAAGACGCTTCTGTCACAGTATAACATCATCCACCTATAAGTTTTTGTCCAAATATACTAGTTTGCACAGTGTTAAAATGATGCAAAAAGAATGCATACACAAAGCTATAGTAAAGACATGCAAAAATACCAGTCCTCTGTCACAGAATAATCAGCCCTAAATCAAAACATGTTTAAATTTAGAAATAGTCCACTCTAGGAGCTTGTAAAAAGGGAAGGTAAAAAGGTGCTGACCCGTGTCTCAGAGGGTATGTAATAAATCAAGAAATAACAGATTCTACTGCTGCTTATTAAGAGAGAAGGACATAGAAGAAAATGAAAAGTTGTATCCTTGCCCCTTTCATGCTAATTAACGCATTCAGAAGCTGTACCGAAAGGAATTTAAACTCGTGATAGTCATAAGAAAACAGATCAAAGGAGAAAAAACCAGACCAAGTCAAGGAAAAGAAAGCTGCATATGCCTTTCAGTTAACAGAATACAGGTCTGAAGGAGGTAAGATGTATACTTTTTTATTCTACACAAATATTTGTATATTTTTATTCTACACAAAATTTTCTGCTTTGCTTCAAAATTATGCTCTGGAAGAGGCTTGACTGTGTTTAAGTGAACTTGCAGATTTTCCTTCCCTGGCTAGAACTGTCTTCAGCAAAGTCATCGTGTTTTATACTTTACCTGTGTAAGGTACGTGGATTGGCTGGATACTATCAAGTAGGATCTATTGTTGTGTGCTTTAAATGACAGAAACATGATTACTTGTGGATTTCTTCTTCACTGTATTTGATCAATTAGATTTTTAACTGTTCAGACAGCTTGAAGCTTGATGATTATCACCTTAAGAATGGGAGTTAAGGTTATAACATAAATTCCCTGCGCATCTGAGTTTAGATTGTGGGAGATGTAAATTACTATTCCCATCTGAAAATCAACAGATCTCTGAGACTTTACAGTGATTGAAAACCTGTCCCCTAACTGTTTACAGGGAATAACAGAAAAAAACAGCTACTTGTAAGGACAATATTAGTTTTTCTTCTCAACAGTTTTACTTGCATAGGTAAATTGCCTTTCTTTCTGTATTCAAGATTGTACTTCAGAATTCTGCCAGCACTTTGTACCTAAAAAGATGACATAAAATTCTTCTCTGGTGCAGTCAGGTGCAAATACCTTTATGTCACTGGAGATACTAAAACGTAGACTACAGTCTATACTTGAGTTTTGTCTTAATTGGGACAGCTGCATATAGGTGTGGATCTACTTGATTCTGAAGATATCAGATTATCCTGCCTCCCTAAAATGCTCGCATTAAAACACAGAAGTTGATAATATTACACTTTAAAGATTACAAATTATTTATCATGCTGAGGCACTGTGTTTCTACCCTGTAGGTCTGAGCAGGACCAAGCTCACAAAATGGGCAGAAGAAGTGACCATCCATATGGCAACTATTTCAGAGGGAGAGGACACACCTATTTTGCAGCAGAAGAGTAAGCATAAATCAAAACCTACCTTAGCCTGTAAGCTGGTGAAAAAATTGCATTGAAAGAAAACCAGGAAATAGTATCAAAAAACCTCACCATTGTATATAGATGGAGTGCATTTTAACTATCGTGTAGTTGTCTCTAATGTTTGTCACTGCACAATCATTAAGAGCCCTCAATGATTAAGAAAAATCAGAATTGCAGAATTCAAGAATCTAGAGTTCAATCATATGATCACAAGTCATTGGTCTTTATAATTACCAGGTTTATTGAGGCTTATTTAGAATTTTCTTTTGAGGCTATTGCAAGGTGATCTGTACACTCAGTTTATCTCTAGATCCACAAACCTCTCTTAGAAACCTGAAAGGGACATTTGTCTCACCCTAAAGAACACAGCAAACCAACCCCCAGAGAAACGGTAAAAAAAAAGGCAGATGAAGACATCAATGCCGTACGAATGCGACTCTCAGTAAACTGTTTCTGGGTAAGAGTCCCCTTCAGCAGAACTAAGTCAAGCTAATACTGTTAGCTTCAGATTACAATAATATATTTTGGTCTTGGATTATTAGAAACACCATCCAACTGGTGATGTTTTAATACATTAGACAAATATCTCGAGTGTGCTTGGGATATCTGTAAGCAGAATGTGTTTCTGGTACTGGTTTATGGGCCCCCAAACTTAGTGACTTGTCCCACACACACATACTGCAAGATTTTTGTTCCTCCATGCCCTGGCAGAGAGAATAAACCATGGGGAAGGCTCTCTCATCGTCCATCCAAAGCAGCTTAGTTCTTCAAAAAAAAAAAGCTGGTTAGTCATGTCTCAGCACTTGAAACTAAGCACCCTCACCTCTAACTGCTGTGAATTCCAGTGGCTGCAATTGTAAGCAGTTTTTCTAGATATGTGAGGCAAAAGTGACTCTCTCCTTTTGGTACTAGAAGTAGTGTTCTAGATATAAGCCCAGATTCCTAAAAGCACAGCTGCAAATTTAACTGGAATTGCAAGAAATTGCACACACACTTTCCATACTAGCCTCTGAGTAGGTAGGGAAGGAGTTGGATGGCAAATATGTAGTCAAAAGCACCAGCTCCAGAAATTACATACTAGGGTCATACGGGTTAATGGATGGCTAAAACTACGTAACATGTGAAAAGCAGAAAGCAGTCTCAAATTGTAGAGAGAGCAGCAGCTGCTTGGAGGGTCTCTCCAAGTTTTAATTGTGCTGGGGACCGTAACAAAACCAGCGGAACCATCTCATGACTTTGAAGATCAGCTGCAACATGGCTGCACCAGAAAGCAAGTGAATGCTGTTAGCTGTGTTCTTGGGTTTAACAGGTCTCCAGCCCACACAGGGTCTTCAAGGGGCAGGAGCAACTTGCAAGATCCAGGTCCTTGTGAAAAAGAAAATCCCTTTGTCTCCAAAGGGCTCATGTTTCAGACAGCGCACAGGCAATTCAGACAAAAAAGCAGCCTGTTCTGTCGCACAAATCTGTTTGCATCTTCTTTCAGGCTTCTTAGGTCACAAGGAAACACTCCTTCATCAGACTTGGAGTCAGTGAAAATGATAGCAAATAGATATAAAAAGTCTCTGGTAAATCACATACCCCACTACTCAGTCCCTACTCATGCAAAAGCATGGTGGTAATTACTTCAGGGCAACTGGATAATAGATATATAGAAGTATGTTAGAATGGGTTTATCCTGATTCACAGAGTAATATTTTTCCCCATGCTTTTTTCCCTTTAACCATTTTGCATACTCTTCTGTTCCTGAACAGGGAAAGAAAAAAAAAATGGGGAATGAATTCCATATGTCTTAGCAGGGAGATTATTAACACAGAAAAAAGGGGGTTTGTGACTAGGAAACTTGCAATTACTTTGTCAGCTTGCTTTCTGACAGTCAGCGGAATCATGCTGCTTCTCTGAAGTCCCCAGTGAGCAGTAGGAAGGATGTCACAGCACAGTTAGCTAAGTGTATTTTCCCAAAAATGACCCAGTGACACCAATACTGTGCCTAGCATGTCATGAAACAAGAACTAAATTCTTGCAGAGCTCTTAACGAATAAGGTTTTATAGTGCTTTATGTATCCAAAAAATCCTTCCATCACCAACAGTTGTTGCAATATGATGCAATAAGGATATATTTCCCCATACTTGCTGCCTAGATAAATTTAGCAAATAAACATGACCTGCATCTCTGCAGGTGTGGCATTTATTTCACATTCTCTCAGGCAGGTATCTTTTCAGAATCAGCAGTAGAGTATTATCTTCAAAGAAATGTATTTCTTACTTTTAAAATGATTAAGAACTTGGCAGAGAATTTAGCTAACTGCTAAATCTACAGAGACTTGCTGAAGTTACTGATACTTTGTCCATTTTCGGAGGTAAATTCTATGCCATGCCTTCCTCTGATGAAAGGGCACTGACATAAACTTGTGCTCTAATCTTTCATGCTCCCAGGAGAACACATCTAGTTGTGGTGTTATTATTTTGTTTTGCTCTCCCAACAGAGCTCTGGGCATTGGACTTTTCATTTTGGTGCTGGCAACTTTGCTTGCCTTTGGCTGCTGGTATTACAAAAGACGGAGTGGCTATAAAAGTCTGCGGGTAAGCATGGCAGCTCACTTTCTAGCATGCTATTATTTTGACACGTATTACTTTTATTTGCAGGACATTAATGCAGAGAACATCGAATCTGTAACAGGACATCATCAGCTCAGGCAATATACACACACTGACATACGTCACAGGCAAACCCACACAATATGAAACACAACTTGCCCTCAAGAACTTGCAAGTCAGACAAAGGGATAAGAGGAAGCAGAAGCAAAGGGACATGAAGCCAGCTGCCCAGCTTTACACAACACATCAGGGGAAAAGATTATCTGAAGGAAGCATTATATTTAATATTTACACAAAGCCAAGACATGTTCAGTGTCCTTTCATTTAAATAAAAGTAACATATTCACTACTCATAAGATTTACCCCTAAATAAGGACAGATGCGCTTACGGTAAATCTAGGAAGCAGAAAATAAGAATAACTGTTACAAGTAGCTTAAGTAAATATGTTCACATAAAGATGACGCATGATTCATCTCTATAAAACTTGACTTGCAGTTTTAAGATTTACAAAAAAGAGCGGGGCAGATTTGAGGTTTGTTTTCTAAACATTACTTTTAAAATATTTTACTTCATGTTTTCTAAGAAAATATTAAAAAAAAGGTACAATCCTCATAACAACTGTTGTTAGAAGTCTGAAAGCTTTATTTTTGAAGTTCTGCTCTCTCTCCTGTGGAAGGGAGGTCTTTTTTAATCCTTTAAAGTGAAAACTTGTGATTTAACTCTAGCCAGCAGCTAAGCTCCACGCTTACTTACTTCCCCTTGCCACCCTGGTGAGGAGAATTGGAAAGAAAAGGTAAACATGGGTTAAGAAGGAACAGTTCAATAATTGAAACAAAATATAATTGTCATCTACTAATCTACTACTGCTACTAATGATAATAATGAAAGAGAGAGAGAGAGAGATAAAACCCAAGAGGAACAAGTGTTGCACAACACAGCTTCTCACCACTCCCTGACTGACACCTATCTCTTTCCTTGGCAGCACTCAGCCCCTCCCAGTCAACTCCCTCATTTATATCCTGGGCATGGTGTTCTGTGGTGTGGAACATTCCTTTAGCCAGTACAGGTCAGGTGTCCCAGCCACGCTCCCTCCCAGTTTCTCATGTACCTAATGTGCACCTGATGTCAGTGCCTGAGACAATGAAAACTCCTTGATTTACAGTAAGAGCTACTGAGCAACAACCAAATCATCATTGTGTTATCAGCATTATTCTCATAATGAATCCACAACACACGGCACTGTATCAGCTGTTAAGAAGAAAATGAACTCTACCCCAACTGGTACCTGCACCAGGCTTTATCTAAATTTTTGCTTTAGTATCTTTTTAGTATCTTTTAGTTATCCTAATATTTTGAAAAAGATATGACTATTTGGGAGTTAAAAAACCCAGCATACCTCTCATTTAAGTCAGCAAATCCATTTCCTTCCTGTTTTCCATAACTCTGTCCCATTCCCTTTCCAGTTATCTATCCAATACTATCTGGCAAAATACATAAAACCTGAACTTTCATAGTGAGATGTTGCAAAAATGAAGGTAATACTCAAAAAAACCCTTCAAAAATCAAACCAAATGCCTGTTTTGTACATCATGGCAAAACCCACAATTTCCTTTTTAATTCCTTCTTATTGCTGACTACCACTTTCTGGTTTTGAAAATTACATCTTTCTTAGGATTTTTTTGGCTAGGGGAGAACTAGTACAGAATGTGTACAAAAGAAATATTGGGAAAACAGAAAAGAAAAAGTTTGGAGATTAAAGAAAGAAATAAGTAGGATAAAAATGAGAAGGCATTTGGATACACAGGAAGATGTCAGTTCCTGCAGTAGTCTTGGACCTAAAAAATGTGATGCTCATTTTTCTGGCAATGTAATTGGATAACACAGGAGAAAGACTATGTCTCAGCAGAGACAGCCAAAAGTGATAGGTAAATTGTCTCACTTGTTTACTTGCATTGTGTCTGGTCCTAATTCCAGATTCTAATACATACTGTAAATGTGCTATCAAATATTAAATGACGCATAATTTGCCCCAACTTCACAGTCTCTTCTTCCTTTCATGTTCCCCATGTTTCTTTATGATCACAGAGCAAAAGCTCTAGTGTGAGAACAGCACGAAACGTTGTAGGTGAGGGAGCAATACTGGACTGCAAAATGACTCTGCAGGACTACAGAAACTTTAATTCTGTGGTAAGTTGTAACTCAAGGTCTCATTTACTTAAACATAGTAAGACATGGTGAGACAATACTGGTAAATGGGCAATTAATGATTTCTTCCTTGAGGTGTGCTCTCTAGATAGAGTCTTCAATGCCTCTACATCAACTTAGAAAGTACTATTTTGAACAAGTTTTACTGTGAAAAGGGTTTTTAAATTGTACTGTTTAGAATTCTTCTTTTAAAAATTCATTTATTTCTTTTACATTTATTCTAAAGTTGTATGGTCATTATGCAATCTATTAGAATGATCTAACACCCGAATGCTGAAATATAATGAAAAAAACCCAAACATTTTCCAGTAGGTGTTCTGCCATTCTGACAAACAACAAATGGACTGTGTCTACTATTACTATACTCTGAAAAGCATTGTCAGGGAATGTTATAAAAATTCAAGGTTTTAGCTCATCTAATCATTATGGAAAGATGAACATTCAAACTTATAACTGTCAAAAAGTTAAACTGAGTGATAAGTATAGGTTAAGTAATAGGTGTGTTTAAATGGGTTTAGAATAGGGAAAAGTCTAATTTATAATCAGTTTTAAATAAGCTGCTCAAATTTTTAACACTAGAAATAAGACAACATGCCTGCATCAAGACTCTTACAGAAAAGCTTCAATATTTATCCGAGTTACCAATATAAAAACACCCATACCTTAAAAAAAAAAATCCTCCCTTTACAACACTGAAAAACCTTTTTTCGGATGAACAGTTCCAATAAAATGAATCTGATGCAAAACCAGAAAACATACTAGCAAAAAAATAGACATAATGAATGAGCTTGGCTATTTTAAGTCACTGAACCACATCTAATACAGTGGTAAATAGCTTGCTGCATGTTTAAGGTCATATTCTTGTACCTCAATTGATTTTTTCAATCTCTCACACCCATTTTCCTTACCACAGGTACCTGATGCTCCACCAGCTTATGACAAAATTGCTGCAGATCAGTCACCACCACCTTATTCACCATGATAACATGAAATTTTAAACTCTTCATGCTCCCTCTTAATTTTCCATACATGCTTAACTTTCTTATAGCTAAAATCATAGAAAAAAAGATATCACATGCTTTCATTAGCAGTTGCTGAAACCGCTTAGTTACAGACCTGGTTTTTGAAATGCCTCAATAAATCTGAATGTGCTTTTGGTTTAAGCTTTTCATTTCTTGTGATCAGATTAATAATGCCCATGCTCTGGGCATCCTGAATCCTTCATAAATCTACCAAGTGTAAGTACATATTATTCAGTATCAATCAAGAGTAAAAAGCGCTGGCACCTTTATTTTCATCTTTCTCATTTAGTCTCCCTTCCTTTAAAAAAAAATATAAATAAACTATTCCTTGGAATGTGATGTACAAGAATCTGTCACAAAATGAAAAAACCCATTTGACTACATATCCTGTTACAGACTGTTTTCCTTACCCTTAACTGTATTCCTTACAGTTTTAAAATTAATTTCCAAAAAGCAACTATGTTTTACAATACGCTTTTACCTCACTTCACCTGTTTATGTACCTGAAATAAATTAATTCCTTATAAAACACAATCCAGGCAACCAAGAAAATACTGCTTAGAGATCACATTATGTCATACCGGTCAATGGATATAACAACATCACCTCTAGTTTTCTTCTGGCAGTCTTGTAAGACAGCAAGAGAACTTGTAGATATAGAGTTTTACATATCATTTGTTTCTAATATGATGGAACAATATGAGAAAATGCACGAAAACCATGTTACCTGAAGAATACAGAAGACAACAGACTTCAAGATGTTAATTTTTCCAGCTTGTCAGAACATGAGCAGTAATAAAAACCAAAGAACTGTGATGCGCATATATTAGCTATATAGATTTGATAGTTATTTTTTACTTAGTCTTTTTGTTATTGCTTATTTGCCAGATTATTACTTAAGATGATATGCAGATCAACAAATTATACACAAGGCCTGATATCTCACAGCAGGAGGCAGCTAAAACTGTACAACATTCATTACATTGAAAAGTAGTAACAAAAGAAAACTAATTTCATAAAGCAATTATTAACTGCTATTAGTAAAGAATCTGGCTCTTTGTCACCAAATATGCAAATACAAACACCTTAAAACAAAAAAAAAGTTTTAAACATAAGGCAGATTTACTTGCCTAACATAAACTCCATAGATGATGATAAATAATAAGACACAGCTTTTTTTGAAATGTTTTTTAGATTAGATGTTTCTATAGATTGTTTATAAATGTTAGATATATGTTTTTATTATATCTAATATCTATATAGTATCCAATATATGGAGTTTATGTTACGCAAGTAAATCTACCGTCTGTTTAAAGCTTTTTTTTTGTTTTAAGGCGCATATATAAGACATATATATATAAAAAATTATTTAATAGATGTTTATATAGATTATATAAAATTGTTGGAAGGTAATAAATATCAGTAATTCTAGTAAAAGGTTATATACATGGTTTTATAAATTTAGTTGATATATTTATTTAAAAACTTAAGAGAGATATTTTAACCCAAAGAGCTGTCTTAACTCTGTCATTTCCAACATATACCTTAAGGAAAAAAATTATGGACTTGTTTAGTGACAGGAAGAAGAATGCACAGGAAAATATACAGAATTCCAGCTTATAGCTAGTAAGCACTAGAGATGTAGTACACAATGTCTAACTAATTTTTTTTGCAGAACTGGTAAGCTAAAGCTTGAGGCTAATATCTTTAGCAACTCTGTGTTTAGGATCTCTCTACCCTAAGGCAGCATCCTTTCAAAAGACTGTAGTGCTACAGTGGAATAGAACTGACATACACATTCACGGTTGAGAAAAAAGTTAATTTCCATAAAGATTATATAATATAGAGAAGTAAAGTGCTTAGAGTTCAAAAAGCTTTACTTGATCCCACGCATTTTTAGTAGTGTCAGCATTAAATGTGTTACCAGCTGTTGCAAAAGCTCACAAGAAAGTTAACACTGACGAAGTAGAAATATTAATTTATTTCCAGAACTACACAAGGTCAAATTGTTAAAACTGCTCAGCAGCCAGAGCTAGAACTATTACACTTTGACATGAATTTATAGATACTTAAAAGATATATAAGCCCTATTCTGGTTTTCAGAAAAGTTCTCCCCTTTTTAATCCCAGTGAAAGCAGTATTCTTTCTTAATAGACACAGTTAGACAGTGATCTCAGATTTTAATTGCATTAAAATAAGAGCATGAAATAGAGGTTCACAGAGCACTATATTATATAGGTGGAAACTTCATCACTGAACACCACTGCAAATTTCATTTTTCAAATCTGACTCTATACCCAATGGTGGTACACTGCAGTGTCTGGCTGCTGATCCATTAACTAAACACCAATACAAGACAAGTCAGAATGTGAAAGCAAGAGACCTGCAGTGGCCAAAGCTCCATGTTGCAAGAACTGGCTATTTTACGTATTGTCTGTATTACACTCAATAACACTGCACTTTACCAAACACAAGTTAAAACCTTCTAGGAAGCCCTTAAGGAGAAATGCACAGAAATGTCTCAACAACCACACATGGAGAATGTGGCATAGAGTTTTCAAATTTCAAGGGAAGTTTTTCACATTACATAGTTATATGACCCCAGAATAACAACTACTTACAAAAATTTATATTTATAATTTATCTGGTATGGTCGTTATGTAACAGGGAAGGTGTAAAAGTCAAATACCTTCTGCTCCTCTTTTTTTTACCCTCTTTGCAATCAGACCAAAATCAGATGCCTTGTATTACAACTAGAAGTCTGAACAAAGATGATATTTGTGCTTTATTTTCTCCCATCAGAAAAAGCTAATGAAAAAATTCATGGGCATTTTGAGTTTTCCCCCAGGATGGTGACGAAGACAGGTGGCTGATCATAGTTGGAGAATGAAGCTCTGCTCGCTACTGGTCTGCATTAAACTGCTTCCATCAGACTAGTAGATGTACTCTTACGAAAGCTCTTCTGTACATGATGATGTCAGCAACCTTACAGCTATGCATGCAACCCTTATAAAGATGCAATGAACACTTTCAAAATGAGGCCTCTCATGAACATAGCGTGTTTTGATCAGATTGCTGTATTATAGTGGTACTAGCAGTTGTATTGTCTTATGTTTGGATTCTTGGTATGGTCTTACTTTCTAATGCAGTTACAAGCCCCAGTGTAGCCTTCAAAGATTCCAGAATATTGGTCAGCCATCCTAGACATTGCACAAAGATAAAATGCAGCAGGTCCTGATGAATTCAATCCTTCTGGCATCCTGAACCATACAGCAAACACCGAGCCATGAGCCAGAAGGGTATATTTCACATATGTCAGAGAGCTATGAAAAAAGAATGTACCAAGAACTTTCCACAGGAAGCGCTTACTTTATTTTAGAGTCTCACCAGTCCAGTGTAACAGGAATCGCATTTGCAGCTGGTTAGTATATAGTCCAGTGACATTCATCTCAGCAATCTCCTTCAGCCTAACTCCTGCTGTAGCTGGGGATGTATATATATTATCTTGGCTTAAGCACTGTATTAGTATTAGCCATACTGCTTGTCATTTTTCAGTAAAATATAACATTGCCAGACTATTTTGATTCATGTTTATGTCTAATATTGGTAAAATATCAATTACTTTGTTGGTGTACATCTCTGTGTTCATGTGACATAAGAGTACACTTTCTGGCCTTTAAAAATCAAACACGAGTTGAGTTCAAATCAGTATAAGACAGAGTGATGGCCTAACATAAATACTATGGTCTTTCAATACTAATTCTGTAAGGTCTTTCCAACTCTGCTAACTTCCATTTCTGGATGTGAGAAACGGACGGCTCTGTTGCATGTTTGCCATGTTCTCTGCTTACACAGCTGCCTTCCTTCCTCCTGGTTCTTTTTTAATTTACATTACCATCCACTGCATTCTTGTAGCTATTAGGGAAAAGATCTGACTCATTTTTGTTGAAAAGCATCTTCTAAGAAAAAGGTCTAATCTTCCAAGTTCTATCAATTTGTCCTTTCCCACTTACCTTGGCAGAAGTAATTGATTTTAATTTCTGCACACCATCACATATACCCTAACCATCTCATAGCTCCTGACACTGGAGCAAAAAGCCACCCTTTTTAGATACCGTTCAGTGCTGGATTTGCTTGTGCAGTTGTTTTCAGGAGGAATTTTAGGATTGTCATCTGGCAAACATATTCAGAAAAAACCTGGAACTGCTTCAGGATTTGCAGAAGAACAACAAAATCGTATAGTAAGTGATATAATAATATAATATTCCCTGACCATTAATCACCTGTAGAGGAATCCTTGCAAAGATTAGAAGGTATTAGATGCCTGCCTATTACTCCTATTTTAATATCTCCAGAAAATCCTTCCTGAACATTTTTGGTACTGACCCAGATTTAATAAGCCTGTCTTTCTTACATTTTTAAGTCTCGGAATATGCAGCCCACATAATGTACACTTCTTAGATTTTGGCCTCACCAACAGGAAGGACAACAATGATATTTCAGTCAACTCCTCATTCAAAACTTCTGCTGTTTAGCAGGATTCTGTTTAGCTGTTTAGCTTCTCCAACAACCTCTTAAACCGGAGAAGCAATTTTATGCTTTTATGTCATTTTTTCTTCTGCTCTGCTTCTCTGAATTACTGCTCACCTTTCTCCAGTACCTGATTCTTTGGCTGCAAAATCTTCTCTTTCATGTCACAGACAAACTCAGGCTGAGTTCACAAAATTCTCCTGGAATTACTTTTAGATGATGTGAGTACATACTGGGGAAAACTAATTCATATTTGTTTATTTCTTGTTCTTTCCACTAAGCATTCTCTGCTGGCCACTATAGTGAGACAAATGCCCAGTTTAAGGTGCAGCTCATACAGTGACTGGACTGTTGTAATGAAATGCATCGCTGGCATTTCATGTGCCAAAGAAGCTCACTTTCAATATGGGCTGGTTTATAACAAAAGATTATGCTTTTGCATCAATTTCTTAGGCCATGGAAGGAGTAAAATACTTCCAGACAGGCCTCTCCCACTTTTTGTTTTTCTGAGATCACTTTGCAGAAAAGCACTCTAGAGGCAAGAACAATATTTTGAAGGCAGCGTGTAGATGAACCATAGAATACTGGCCAGACAAGCCTCAAACTACTGTAATTTTAGTATTTGTGTGTTGCTAATATGAATTGACAAGGGTTTTTATAAATAGATGTAAGCAATTCCTTCTTCTCAGTAATTGATTATAATAGTAAAAATACCTGCTTTTTATACTGTGTAAATCGAATCCATCATAATTCCACTCTTTCTGTATTACAACCAAGACGCCCTGTGGCTACATAGTAGTACCCTGTCACTAATCCCTCTTTGATGTTTTATTTCACTGCTGCATGTGATTCAAAAAAAGAGTGAAGAATGATTCTACAAATAACAGCACATTATCTGGATGGATCTCAATGTATACGCTGGTACCAGGTGCTGATGACCTATTGCCAGCCAAAGTAGTCTGATTTTATGCTTGTGTATTTACTAGATAATTAAAGAAGAGTATTGTCTTTTTTTATACATCGATATTGACAAGCAAAGTTCTAAAGACTGAAGACAATCACAAAAATCACAGTTGTTTCTTTACTATCTTGCTTTCCCATGCTATTTAATTTTTATAAATGCTATCTGTCGATGCCCCTCACATTCTTGAAAACAACTAAATTTTCTAAATAATTTTTTCTTCTATGTAAAAAGCAAAAATAGGGGAAAATAAAGCAGTAATCTAGTTGTCTAACCTTTAGTAATGGATGGGATGCTGGAAGGAGTTCAGGGGACCAAGGATTCTATTCCCAATTCCTCCATGTTGCTATGAGAACTCAGTACTTCATTGCCTTCATCTGCAAAAGGTGGAAAATCATATTTATGCATATTTTAATAGACCTTCTGTGTAACAAACATAATTTCAAGAAATACTATAAGTAATTAGTTACATTTCCTTTACACTGCTTTTAAATACCATTTTCATTTAACATGTTTAGTTCAGCTGAGATTGTAGTAAAAGATACTGTAAGAACTTTCTGAAGAACTTCTGGAATAATCATATATGAAACAACGAAGTGTCCTGGTTACCAAGTTTACGCCAGACATCCAGGTCTATTGACCAGACAATTCCATATTTTGAGAAATGAAGAAAATACATGTCTATCAAGATCTTTAAGTTTGTTTTTATGCCACTGTGGTTTCAAGGAAAATATATTAAAATAACAATGTTCTGTATCACATTTATAAAGTGGCCTCTTCAACAACTAAAAAATCTTTATCTGGATGTCAATGTGTATAAAATGACCATGCACCTAATATACAGACCTAACCTTGCATTCTATGCATAAAAATAATGATAATTAAAAAAAATCATCAAAATAATTTTGCTTGTCCTTTTACATTTTCAAGAGAACTAAACCAAACAAAAACAGGAACTGGGAGAGTGTCAGACTTGCACTAGTTTCAATAGCCTGGTTTAAAGACCGTGTCTTTACAGCCATGATATTCTGCAAGTGGTATAGTTTTATAGGATGAAATGAATTTGATACTGATGTGTATTTGGTTTAAAATTAATATTTCTATGAAAAAATTAGTACAAGGCTAAATAATAGTCAGAAACCAACCCACAAACATTGAAATAATTATGAGACACATAAACACACTGCTGAATAGATTCAGTGCTTTTAGAACATGCACTCTTCTAATCCCAGAAGGACACAGTAAAACTGAAAAAGGCACATACAACAATGACAGCAACTAATTACTTCCATATAGGAAATAACTGAATTCACTATTTCTCTTTATTCTAGAGAAGAGACAACCAACATGGCAAAGGTCTACATAGGCCACATGGAAAAATGACTAAACAGCAAAGGCTTATTGCATCATACAATATAAATATTATTTGCATCAAATGAAACTAGCAGGTGCCAGGTTCTGAAACCAAAAAGGAAATTTATTTACAAATTCTTTACCACTGGGTACTGTGGATGGTAACAGTTTGTCTGCATGCTTTCAAAAATTCTAGAAAGGATTGGTCCATTTAATCAAGAGAAATACACTGAAAGCTATTAAACTGAAGAAAAACACAGCTGCATGAGGAAGACTCTGGCTCACAGATTAGTGGATACTAGAAGATTATTCAGGCCTGTTATTGTGCTCTTTTGGAATGTTGCTTTTGACTGCCTCAAGAGACGTGATGGACCTAAAGTCTGATGTGGCATTACTAATCTTACTTTGAGTCAGTTAACTCTCTTCAGGTGCAGCTTACAGTCAACGGGCTACATGAGTTTAAGTCCTTTTGAGCACCTCTGGCTGTTCTTTTTAAAGGAAAGAGTTTCATCATAACAAACATTTGTGCTTTAATAAAAATGATTAATTAATTTAAAACCATTTTGGGCAATTGAAATTCTGCACTACCACAAAATAGAAGGAAAACCATCTATGAAACTAACTCTGTGGTAAGGCTATGGATGCCCTTCAAATGCCAGCTTTTAGTAATTTTCTGACCTACTCCCATGAGACAAATTATTTTCTCTTCACTTATCAGGAGAATTTTTGCTTTCCTTTTCACATTGTACCTTTTGCTATGTCACACAGTGAATCAGAATGGGTTTGAATGACTTGACAGTAACACACTTGGTTTGAACAGATACTTTTATAACAAATAATACATGCGAAATTTAACTGTTCCTAGTGTGGTAGAGACAGAATCCCTAGGAGAAAATGGCAGCTCACAGATGTGGGTTTGAACAGTGAAGCAAAATAAGGGTAATTTTCTACTCAGAGCAAACCAAAATTATTGTGCAGAACATGTTAATTTAGGTAAATATAAAGCATATAATTCAAAATATTCAAAGTAATTTATAAATCCAAAGTTTTAGTGTATGAATAGCTGTATATAATATCAGTAGGGATCTAAAAGTAAGGCATTTTACAAGCACTGAAAAGTTGAACACCTTTTGTTAAAAGACTGATTTATATATCTGGTTTTATGTGTAACTAAATGTCTTTTAAAATTCAAGTAAAGATGGTAGTTCTGCTTTTTCATTGTGTCTATGAATATAATCCACTTGTTCACAGTTCTTTTTGTGCTATAAGTAGCACGATACATTTGGTAGAGAGTAAAAGGTACATAGCAAAGTGTCAATGTTTATTTACTTGCATTTGAAAGAAAACCTTAACTCTGACTGACATTTATATTATTGGAGAACAGTGTTGGGGATAGGAATTTTATTCGCAAAAATTACTAAAATTTGGTTTTACATAATGAATGGTGCAAGCCCATTACATAGCAGTCTCAAGTCCTTCTCCAATAGGACTTGGAATCTGAACACATGTCTAGTAGAGAATAAAAGTCCACGAAACTCTAATTAAACTGACTCAAACTTTTCATGTTGTAAAGTACATGTCTTCCAAATTATACAATATTTATAAAAATTATAGAATATTATCATATTAATTCAGAAAATTTCTTGGAAATCATTCAGGCAAGTTACTTGAGTCCTGAGTTTTTCAGTTCAGCTTTTCTAACTTCTCTCTTTATTAGAATCAATTATAGCATAAATCTTTCCACTACATCAGCACACACAAAAAAATGTCATGCAAGATTTTTTCTCTCATCAAGAATATCTGCAACAGCAGAACCTAGTCTTGAGCTTTTCAAATAGCGTAGATATTCACTCTACAACAAACCTAAATGAACAAAAAAAAAAAAAAAGAAAGAACAGCCATTTCAAGAAAACAGAAAAATCCAAGAAAGTGAGTCCCATGGTTCCACCAGTGAAATGGAAATAAAATGAGCTTCTGGTATATATGGTTTTAGAGTATGTAAAATGAAGAAACTGCCACTCTCTGCCATCTTCCTCTGTTGGAAAAGTCACTGCAGCATTCAACTGTAATACGCAGTCAGATTTAAAAATTCTTAATACTGTGAACTCTGATGGACAGACATACTTACTGCTAGGTGTTTTCAAAATCCATTACAAAATGCCTTTAATGAGAAGTAGCAAAGGTGTAGCAGGTAGCTTTTCCTAAAATTTAAACAAACCTTCTTTAATCCCAAAACTGACAGCTTCCATCTGTCCCAGCCCTGAGATAAGATGGAAAGATGCAATTTCCCAATGCAATTTTTTAAGTTAGTGCAAAAGGAAAGGTCCCTATGGAAGGCACAAGCCTTTCTTCCCCCCACTTTCCCAAAACTCTAGCAAACTAGCTACCAGGCTACTTTTCAGAACAATACAAAGGGCAGCCGACACAGAGCGAGTAAGCTGTGGTCCTATTCTTCAACTCAATATCCAAACTTCCAAACTAGTATAGCAAAAGGGGAAGGGAAGTAGAAAATTCAAAAGGATGAAGAGCAAAGGCTGAAGCTTCATCTTGTTGAAACTCAGTCTAAGAATTCTGCTATATGCAGATATGTAAGCTTTTATCCCCTTTGAAGTCATAGCTATTAGAAAGGCAATTATCATTTTTAAATTCTTCTGAAATCTTCCCTTCTAGTTTCTAAAAAATACCAAACAAACTCTACAAAAAATCAACACATACAAATATAGCAATTCTAAAATCATCCATAAAATAAGATGGGCACTCTTTCTTTATATGCAAAATCTCAAGAGATACCTAAAAACTTATCTCCACGAGCACTGCAGCAGGTAGCTGTGAACTCAGCAGATCTGCAGAAAATAACCCCAAGGTTTTATCAGATCAAAAGCTGAATCTAAGTCAACAAATACTGAATACACTGCATAAAAAAGGAAGGTTTCTGTAACATATTATTATCCCCAAAGCACTAATAAAGCTTCCTTTAATATTATGTGATGCTTTAGTGCTATCCTTCAAGATAGATCAATTATAAGCTAAAGAAAAACATACAGATCTAGAAAATGGTGAAAAAAATGGGTCATTTGTTATGGCTAGATAGAAGACTAACGAGTCATCCTGTTACAGTCATCAGGCATATGGAAATGCATATAAGGCTGTACAAAAGAACTGTTCAACAGATCTATAAGTTTTAAGACAAAACATGTTAGTCCTTAACAGCAACCAGTGTGACTTAGACTGGTGTCTGAAAAGCCACTTGTAGCCTTACCACATCACTGGAGTTATTTAGGCAATATAACCAAACATTTATTAAGAACGGATGAAGTATGGCTTATCCAGCCCTGCATCACGAGGATCAACAAGAAGGCCTTCCTTCCAACTCCTGCTAAATCATGTGAAATGTAAAAGCAGACAAAAGCAAAAGACGTTAAATAATTTCCTTCTACCACACACCAAAAGAAAGATGTGTGTATACATACACACATACATATGTATACACATATATATATATATGTATACATATATATATATATATACATACGTATGTATGTATGTATGTATGTATTCTGCCATGGTGTAACAGATACACATATTTTTAACTATTGCCAACACAAAGCAGTAAAGCAACTTGATTTATTATATGCAGATTCTTCTGCAGTTGCTAAACAGTACACTGGTCCAAAGTTACTAAAATACTTAAAAAACTATACACTATGTAAACCAAACATAAATAAGACAGCATAGTTCTTTGTACATATTGTTTAGTATGGACTGTTAGGAGTTCAGGAATATGTACAATTCTACTCTATAGATTGCATTTTTACAATGCATAAATATTTTCCTTAAAGAAACAGATCAAAAATAAATTTGACAAATAAAAGAAGACATATACTGTCAAAAACATACTGGCAAACAGTCCATAATATAAGATGGAACATGTGCAAAAGGTGAGATTTCTCCAAACTGTTTAATAAACTCATTGGTCATTTCTGACCTTTTTACTAAAGAACTCTCTGAAAACTTCCGACAAACTAAAATTTTTCTTCCTCTTAATCCCCACAGGTGAACAGGAAAGAACTGCAACCTTAAGTAATGTTGAGTAAATCAACTGGTTGTAAGAAATTATCCAATAGTTACAACTTCCAAAGTCTGAGGAATGCCCCAAAATTTCAAAGTGGCTCATTTGCAGTAAATTCAGGATGCAGCTTTGTCAGGTTTATCAAGGCAAGATGACTGAGATGCAGGGAAGACAGTGGTAGGATTTCTGCTTGTGGACACAACAACAGGAGGCAGCAATGAAGACAGAGGAGAAACTTTTGGTGCTGGAGTATTTAGAGCATTCAAAATGGCTCCCTCTGGACTGACCAACAGTTTTTTGATAGAAGTGTCTAAGTGAAACACTGAAGTGTTGCTTGGCAAATGAGAATTCGGAGGATGAACGGCAGAAACAACAGAAGATGTAGCTACAACATTAATAGGAGATTTTGTCACTGAAGACACAGACAGTGTTACCCCAGACAGTGGAGTACATGAGCTAGCTGGAGTACTAAATATCTGGGGCGTTGCATGTACGATGGGTAAAGCATCTGCGGCACCAAAAGAGTTCATAATTTTCGTGGAGCTTTTCAAAGGATGTTTTGATATTTGACAACTTAATGAATTACTTGGTGCTAAGATGATTTTTGAGGTTATTGGATTAACAATTGGTATACCTTGAGCTTCTTGACCATGGTTAACAGTTAAAGGAGTCTGTTTCGTATTACGGGAGAGAAGAAGAACGTGGCTGCCAGCTCCAAGGCCTTGCAGTGGAACAACAAAACGAGTACCGTTAATCATTATCTGAGTTCCAGGTGCCAAAGGCATACAGGTGTTAATGACTATTTTCTGTTGAATGCAAGATTCATTCAACTGACCTCCTCCAGTTTTGCTTGTTACAGCTGGTGAAGCTGAAGACATCTGAGCAGTAGAAACACAAGTGTAATCATGCCTTTGTTTCTCTGTACTGAGAGGCACCTGCTGGCATTGTAGGGTAGAGGAACTGGGAAAGCTAACGACTTTACCTGTATTTGGTGACAGAGAGGGCAACACACTCTGAGGTTTGTGACTTGACATACCAACTGAAGTTCCTGATGACTGAAACCGAGGCAGTGTGGGCAACTGGTTTTTTGATACTAGAAGAGGAGCTGGAATTGTTGCTAACTGAGGAACTGTATGTAACACCTTTTGGGGGGCGGCTGCAGATCCAGGCAAGCTAATGAATGGAAATTGCAAAGCAGATGCTAAGTTTTGAGGAGATACTGTTGGTTGTGTGGTTGAAATCAGCACAGATGAAGCAAGATGTCCTGTTTTCACAGTTGATATACCCATATTTCCAATATTTGACGTACAAAGTCGATTACCCAGAACCGGCCTTATTCTTGAGGGATCATTGCCACCAGTCAAGACAGTGGACCGTGTCCCAGAAGTAGTCCCACTTGGTGCTACTGAAACAGATTCTACACATGCATGTGCCATTGTTACTGTAAAGGCATTTTCAGCTTTTGTTGCAACACATACAGATTCATTAGCTGACACAGCAAAAGCTGGAGCAGGAACCACAGTACTGCTACTTGTCAAAGACAGCGCCAAGCCAGTGCTTTTTTTGTCTTCTCCTTTAGAAATGGTAGAGTGCAATATATTAACTGGTGGGGCCTCCTGTGCATTGCCTTTAGTATTTACAATGGTCTGACCTATATTTAGTCCAATTTTTACATCTTTTACTTGAGCAATAGTTGGTGATGAATTTATTCTTATTGGTGCTCCTATCGTAGATGGGATCAAAACCAAATGTGGTTTCTCTGTGGCATTAACAAAGGTTTTGGTTAGGGAAGAAGGAAGGTTCTGTCTCAATGACTCTGCAACTAGATTGGTGGTTGATGGGCCACTGGCAATTTGTGTGTTAACAAAAACCAGTTTCTGAGCATTAACAGCAGTGGATGCTGGAGAGGGTATAATACTGACTCCTGATGCTCCAGAGGGAGATAAAATTGGTGAATTTGTAACTAATGTAAATTTCTGGACTGGAGTACCACTGACTAAATCCGCACTTGTTGCTGAATTAGACTCAGACTGTATAACAGAATTTTTTTTGGTTTTAGTATCCTCTTGATGCTCTATGGAAGAATTTGGAGTTACGACAGCATTATTTTGTCCAGTGCTAGTCACACTTACAGGACTGTTTAGAGTTGTGGACATCACATTGCTAGCTAATGAAATGGAAGACAAAGGAGAGGACACACAGCAGAAGTTCTCTATTACTTGACCTGAAGTGTCCCCAACAGGAGGCTGCTGTAGTGTGAATTTGATATTTTTCTCCATTGCCTGGGTAAAATCAGCTGGGAAAGCTGGAATGTTAACAGAAGAAGCTGTTGAGAGGGCAAATCCAGAAAGAGATGATTGTCCAGTATGTGGGAAACCAGATGTGGCTGTTGCTAGAGATGGAAAAGTAGAGTATGATAATGCTGTGGTTTTTGGTACAAGAAAGGCCTGAAGTTGAGAAGTGTAAGTGAAAACTGAACTAGAAGATGAACTACTAGGTGAAATCTGGTCTGGGTTTGTCTGTACTTTAACAATGCCTGTGTTTCCACCTCGTGTTGTGACCAGAATAGATTGTGATTCTCTTACACATACAGTCTTCAACTCTTGCCTATTTTCACAGGAGTCAGTTGGCTGCTGCGATGCAAGACTATGACAGGTAGAATCAGTGTTCGCAGACCCACTTAATGCTGTTGCTGGTATCAAGGACTGGCTAGCTGTGGAAGGAGTAGATGAAGTCAAAGACACGGGGAATGTAGCAGTCAAAACTGTAGTCTTGATTTTGTCAGTTTCAGTTTGGTTCACCTTAATTTTTGATGATAGTAAGTTACCTGCTGAAGTTACGTCAGGCAATGATAGTGTATTGCTCATGGGATCAGACACTTGTGACGAGTGGGTAATATTCTTGCTAAAAACTGTAGTAGGTGACTGAGTGGTAGTATTTGCAGAGCCTGTCACCAGAACAGGTGTTAAAGAAACACTGATATTTGACACTTTTGGTAAAGATGTACAGTGCAGCTCAGATGATTTCTGTTGTAGTGGCTGAACATCCTTGGACACAATTTTTCCTTCCTGCTGCTGAAGAAGAAAATTCTTAGGTAAAATAAGAACTTGTTGCATGACTTTTTCTCCAGTTTTAGGGTCAGTCACAGTTTGCATTTGAAGTTTCACTGAGTTATTATGAAGGTCTATTGGTACACAATGGCCATTTGGCATTTTGTATACCATTTGTAAGGGAGTCTTTGAACTGGCCTGGCAGGGCAATGCTGGTTTGATCACTGATGATTCCAAAGGTGGTAAAACTGACTTTTCAGAAGTTGATACATTTATGCCTGGGGGAGGCGATGGTTGATTTGTTAAGGTCACTTTGTTCCCAGTATTCTTGGCAAGCAAGGCCTGGATGGGTTTGGTCCCTTTCAGAAAGTTTGATACTGATGTTGTAGGATCTGTCAAGGAAAACAACTCTAAACTTGATCCTTCAAATTGTTTTAGCTCAGTTAAACAACTATCCGGCTGCAGGCTACTTTCTGAACTCTGAACTACAGTCTCAACAGTGCTCAGTTTAGCTTTCTTCCTTGGTGAGAGCTCATTAGTGCTTTGATCCAGACAACTATTTTGCTTGAACTGTCGTTTAATGCATTTGGGCAGTGTCTTCTGGATTTCTTTAGAAGCTGATTCTTTTTTCAGAATTCTGTTTTTTCCTGCAGGTAAATTCATCTCTAATAGTTTCATTTCATCTGCAAGGATATTAAAACAGAAACTCCATTTTACATGTTTGAAACCGAAACAATTTTATAGTGTCTACCTAAAGGCAATATTTGCAAGAGCACATGGAAGGAAATGTCTGCTTCTTTAGGGGAATCTGGTCAAGGATCTTTTTCAATGAAAAAAGGGGGTAATAAGGAAAGGAGGAAGTAATAAACAAAAACAGTTCAGGAACTGAAACCTGATCGGCAATGGGAGACAGTGAGGAAAATCAAACCTGGTCATTCACATTAATTGTTAATGGCATGTGAGAATGTAAGAACGTTTATTCCAGCAAGGTTATTTTGAAGGGAAAAAGGGAGAAGCCACGAAAAAAGATATACAGAGACACAGATCTAACAAAATAAAAATGCAGACAATGACAAGAAACAGCCTCACCAATCACACCGGTTGATGGGCTAACAAGAAACTGCATATGCCCCTTGCAGGAAGATCAACCTGGACTTCGCAGCTGATATGATTATAAACCAGGGGAGATCTTGGAGACTGGGCTGGGAGGGGTGAGGAAATTGGTAGAGCTATACAAATCCATGAAGGGATGTGCAGAGGAAGGGGGAGCTGCAAGGATGGCTGCAAGAGGTCACAGCCTGTCTGCCTGGTGCAATCTGCTGCGGGGTGAATGTCTGTATCCTCCTCAAATCCAGTGCATGTGGGGGCAGTGCGTGTGTATTCACTACTAAACTTCAAGCCAGACTAGCAAGTAAGCAGGAGGGCTTGGGGTCTGGGCTGGCAGAACAGGTGGACTTGTGAGGGTGGGGTGCCTGTGGGACAAAGATGTGAATGCCCAGTCTAGCATCAAGCTAGACCAGACAGTGAGCAGGGGATGCATGAAGTGGATAAGATGGCTGAGGATGCAGGCAGGGGTGCGAGGCAGACAGAGGGGCCATGTATTGAGGTTTTGGCAGTGTGAGGCAGCAGGGAGGCCTCTATGAGGACAGAGGCCAGGAGTTGCCCTGTGCCAGACACAGCTGGCTCCAAAACAGATCCACTGCAGGACATGGTCAAGCCTGTCTGCTGAGGTGGTGATGTCCCATGGAAAATGCTTTGCAGAAGGGTGTGACAGAGCACAGTGAGGACAAAATGTAGGAAAAACAACCCTGTAGACACCAAGGTCAGTGAAGGAGGGGAAAGAAGTGCTTCAGACACTGGAATGGATTCCCCTGCAACCCATGATCAAGCAGGTTGACCGGCTCCCATGAAGGACCATGCTGGAACAGGTATGTACACTGCAGGCTGTGGAGGATGCCATTCTACAGCAGGTGAATATGGCTTGAAAGAAGCTGCAGCCCATGAAAAGCCTACACTGGAGTAGGGTCCTGACAGGAACTGCGGCTTATGGGGGACCTACACAGGTACAGTCTTATCCTGAAAGACTCTAGTCTGTGTAGAGGACCCACACTGGAGCAGTTTGTGAAGGACTGTATCCCATAGGAGGGACTCCACACTGGAGCAGGGGGGAGGAAGGAACAGTAGAGACTAACTCTTATGAACTGACCTCAATCCCCAGCCCTGATCCCTCCTGTATCACTTGACAGGGGAGGAGCTGGAAGAATTGGGAAGGAAGATGAGCCTTCGAAGAAGGTAGAAATGGGAAAGGGGGGGCAGGTTTAGCTTTCGTATTTGGTTTTCACCATCCTACTCTATTTTTAATTGTCAATAAATGAAATTAATTCTCCCCAAGTGAGTCTGTTTTGCCTGTGACAGTAACTGGTCAGTGATCTCCTTGTCTGTATCTTGACCCTTGAGCGTTTCTACACTGTTTTCTCTCCCTGTCCCATTAAGGAAGAGGGATGACAGACGGGCTGGGTGGGCATATGGCAGACAGCCAAGGTCAACCCACCATAAAAGTAAATACCACACAAGTCTATCATGTTATCACAGAAATAGGTAAGCACAAAAAGAAGTGGTAAACATTTGAATAAAGCAGAATTTTCATCTTGGTCATGTCTGCCCTCTTCAAGTCTACATATGACAGATGCAGACCACAAGCTCTTTTGGTATTATCACAGTAGTAGTTAAGGTAAAAAGCAGGACACAAGCTCACATGGAAAAATTAAGTTCCCAAATCATCTTGATTCAGCTCCTGAATCAAGTTCAAGCTCCTGAATTCCAGTAAATGCTTACCATTGTCTGAGTGATCTTTTTTGGGAACTTCTATATGTTCTGCAGACTCTGATGGTTTACCGCATACTACTGCAAAAGATTCTTTGCCAGAATCAACTTCGCTTTCATCATTACTCCACAATTCTCTGGTAAATTTATCATGGTCTGGATGTCTTTTAAAGTCATCATAGTCCTTCTTCAATCTAGACCTTGAAAATAACAAAACTAACTTTACTAAAAAACCACACTGTTTTAAACGTTATTATTATTTCCATTTGCTGCTATACAAAAAGTTGGTATAGATTTAATTGCCTGTGCCCCTCAAAAAATTTCAGCATAGCTCTGTCTGCAAGTCTCTGAAACCCGGAAAATCTGAAGTGGCAGTAAGGTCCCTTCCTCTACCAAACTGAATTCTATGTCATTAAGTTCTCTAACAATAAGCAAAAACACTGAGTCAAATTTGATCATCACTATTTTACTGCATCCATCTTCTGTTTCTTCCTTGGCCTTGCATTGTGACAGAAATACCTATATGGACTTGAGTATTAACTGTAACAAGCCTACTCCTTTCTCTGACAGCAACCTCAGCTAGAGAAGTAACTAAATCTTGTTTTTCTTAAATGCATCATGCTGTTGGCCCAGTTGTGGGACCGTAATGTAACTTTCTCCTTAGAGAACATTTTCTTATCTCTGTGCCATTAGAACAGCTGTTACTACCACTTCCATAGATTCACACTCCACTAAAAAATAGGTACATGACAGAAACACATATCTACTTTACTCATTTGAACACCATTCAGAAACATATTCACTTACCTTGATAGGGCTAAACTGTTATGTTTCCATTGTCCCTTCTTCTAAACCATTGTTTAGATAGGATCTAGTGGCTATTTTAGTGTACAAATACAATGAACTTCAGGATTCAGCTGGTGATTACCAACAAAATACCCAGGAGGATTATTTAGCAAATGAATAAATAAATTATAGCAATTAGCACCTTGTGTGGAATAGAATCTAGACTCTATTCTGGACCTAACCCTTATGACAGTATGAATAAGATCTTAAATTTACCCATTCTTTTGCATTAAAATAACAGTTGCTTGCACTGAGTGCAGCAATGGCCAGCGGCTCTCTAAGAGGTGGAGAGGGACGAGCCAAGTATGTCATAGCTCACAGGGCACAAGCATCACCAGCCAGCACACCTGCCCCTGAATGAGGAAGCAGGGTAGGCCTAGGGGTAATTGTGTTCAACTAAGAGCCCAGATGAACAGCAAGTTCCTGGTGCTGAGGCAGGTCTGAGGTCAGGCTGGGTAATCAATTCAAAGGTTCAGATTAGGACCAGGTCCAGTGACAGATGCCAGGGTCAGGACTCAGCTGAATGATTTCTGGGCAGTTCTGCAGTGATGATGCTGGTAGGTCAGTCTGCAAGTCAGTCCAGATCAGCAAGACCCATGGCCAGGCACAGTAACTGATGTAGTTGAGCTGGAAACTGGCATAGAAACTGGCAGAGATTGAAGGCTGCAGAATGACCTGAAATGGGGATCCTGGGCCCATGGACAGGTGGTGAGGATGGAAGGCCACGTGGGGCTCCTAAGGGTCAGTGAGACCTAACTGTTTACTCACAGCTTTGGCACTCTCACTGAGAAAAGACAACACTGAAGCCTGTATGAAGATGCAGTGTGGACAATACTTCAACTCTGTCATTAGGATTTTGAGCTTGGAGTCTAGGTGTGGAAGAACTATAGAAGGATACCAGGGAACCACTACTGTATTAAAGCTTCTGGATAGAATTCCCTTTTTTCTTTTGAGGAACTTCTGTGGGGTCAGTGAACCGCTGTAATCAGTTGGCACTGATTCAATATTATTCTCTGTCATAATTTTGAAAAGACCAGAGGACCTTTCAGAAGGGAAAGAAAACAATTTTGACCATAAAGTGTGCTCCTACTAGTTAAAGACAATAAAAAAGGAAGGAAGGAAAACTCCAGACCCTTATTCCACAGCGCGGTATAAGGAGGAAGGAACTCTGCCCAGCCCTGCACAACTCAGAACTGTGTTCAGTTCAGAACTGTTGTTCAGTTAGCAGACATTAGTAGCTCACTGAGATACCCTATAGACACAGCAACGCCAGCGAGACTTGTGGTACTGATGTTTACACCACCATAAGCAATTTTACTCAATTGTTTTTTTCCTTTTACATGATACCTTTCTTCATCACTGTCACTGGTGCTATAGGGCTGCCTAGAAGCTGCATGATGAACGAGATCAAGACACTGACCTAGAATCCTCCACCCATCTTTCCTTCCTCCTCATGATTTAGAAACATTGATTTTCAGATGGAGCTGTTCCCTGGTATACTATGTGTATGTCCAAAGCTATGTCATGGAAATACTCAGCATCGTAGAATAAACTAGGCTTACAGCCTAAAACATAAGTACTAAGAAATATGAATTGAATTAATTAATCCCAGAAGTTATCTTGCAATCTAAGTGCATGGTTCTCTAGCTATCAGCACACATACTTGTAAGGTCTCAACCATCCAGTTCCAGACTAAAATTTACTCCTATCAGTCATAGCTCATATACAGCACTGGAACACACTATAAATGACAGTTCTGTATTCTATAGCCACATCAGTACAGCATGGGCAACAAACAGGAGGACATGGAAGCCACTGTGCTGCTGGAAAGCTATGGTCTTGTTGCCTTACTGAAACTTGGGACATGACTGGAGTGAGACTATCAATGGCTACAGCTGTTCAGAAGAGATAGGGGAGGAAGGAGAGACAGAGGGGCTGCTCTTTACATCAAGAGGTGGTTTGAGTGTGGTTTGAGGTGAGGCTGAAAGCCTGTGGGTAAGAATCAGAGATCAAGGCAACAAAGGGAACCTTGTGGTTGGTTTTTATTACAGGTCCCTGACTAAGGGTTGCCTATTGACAAAGCTTTCCTGCTCCAGCTACAGGAGGCATCGTGCCCACAGGCTCTTGTGACAGCAGCCCCGCCAGAGAGGATGTGATACTGGACATGATGGGCACCAAATAAATGAGCTAATCTGCGACATCAAGACCTGGGCTGTAGAGATCATGCATCAGTGGAATTTGCAGTCCTGAGGGATATGAGTCAGGTAAAGGTAGTCCCTGAACTAATGGAAAGCAAAGTTCCAGCTCTTCAAGGAGATAGTCAATGGGATCACTTAGGAAACTGCCCTTGCCCTCAGGGCTAAGGGAGCAGATCAGAGCTGTCATATCTTTAAGGAAGTCTTTCATAGAGTACATGAGTTGGCAATACCCATGAGCAAGAAATTAGGTAAGGAAGGCAAGAGATCAGCACGGGTGAGTTGGGAACTGGTGGTCAGACTGAAGGGCAAGAAGGAAATGCACAGGCAGAGGAACAGGAACAGGTACTCTGGGAAGAGTATAGAGATGAAGCTTGGTTCTTTAGGAATGGGTGAGGAAGGCCAAGACAAATCTGAAACTTAACGTAACAAAGGACGTAAAGAATAATGGGAAGGGCTTCTACAGATACGTTAAGTGGAAAAGGAAGGTCAAAGGAGGTGTACCCCCTCTGATAAACAAGGCTGAAAAACTGCAGCATTGAGAAGGCTGAGGTACTCAACAACTTTTTGCCTCAGCCTTCAAAGGTCGACTCTCTTCCCTCACCTCCTGAGTGGATGGACAGCAGCAAGAAGACTGAGAGAGCAAAGTCCCTTCCACTGTAAGCAAAGATCAGATTCATGACCACTTGAAGAATCTGAATGTACAGAAGTCTGTTGGACCCAATGAGATGCACCCCAGAGTCCTGAGAGAACTGGCCGATGTAGTTGCCGAGACACTCTCCATGATACTTGAAAAGTCATGGCAATTAGTTGAAGTCCCAGGTGACTAGAAAAGGGGAAACATTGTACCTATCTTTAAAATGGTTGAAAGGAGAACTCGGGGAACTACTGACCTGTCAACCTCCCCTCTGTGCCTGGAATCATCATTGGACAGACCCTACTAGAAGCTCTGCTAAGGCATTTTAAGGACAGAGAGGTGATCTGGGACAACCAGCTCAGCTTCACCAGGGGCAAGTCTTGCTTGACCAACCGAGTGGCTTTCCACAACGGAATGACTACAGTAGCGGATAAGAGAAGGGCTATAGATGTCATTCATATGGAATTCTGTAAAGCCCTTGACATGATCCCCCACAACATCCTTCTCTGTAAACTGGAGAGAGAGAGAGGTTTGAGGAGTGGATTGTTAGGTGGATAAGAAAGTGGTTGGACAGTGGCATCCAGAGGGTAGTGGTCAATGGCTCAGAGTCCCGATGAACATAAGTGGTGTTTCTCACGGGGCCATACCGGGCCCAATGTTATTTAAATCTTCATTAATTACACAGATGAAGGGATTGAGTGCACCCTCAGCAAATTTGCAGAAGACACCACGCTGAAGGGTGTGATTGCCACACCTCAAGGACAGGATGCCATCCAGAGGGACATGGACAAGCTTGAGAAGTGGGTCCATGGGAATCTCATGAGATTTAAAAAGACTAAGTGCAAACTGCTGCACCTGGGTTGGGGTAACCCCCAGTATCAATACAGGCTAGGGGGAAAAGGGACTGAGAGCAGTCCTGAGGAGAAGGACTCGAGGGTGCTAGTAGATGAGAGGCTGGACATTATCCAGCAATGTGCACTTGAAGCCCAGAAAGACAATTGTATCCTAGGTTCCATTAAAAGCAGCATGGCCAGCAGGTCTAGGGAGGTGATTCTGTCCCTCTGCTCTGCTGAGACCCCCCCTGGAGCACTGCATCCAGTTCCAGGGTCCTCAGCACAGGAAGGACATTGACCTGTTGGACCAAGTCCAGAGGAGGTCACCAAGATGATGAGAGGATTAGAGCACCTCTCTTATGAGGAAAGACTACGAGGATTGGGATTGTTCAGCCTGGAAAAGAAAAGGCTTTGGGGTGACCTAACTGCAGCCTTCCAGGACCTGAGGGAAGCCTACAAGAAAGATGGAGAGAGACTTTTTACAAGAGCATGTAGTGACAGGGAATAGTTTCAAACTGAAAGAGAGTAGGCATAGATTGGATATTAGGAAGAAATTCTGTAGTGTGAGGCTCATGAGGCACTGGAGCAGGTTGCCCAAAGAAGCTGTGGATACCCCATCCCTGGAAGTGTTCAAGACCAGGTTGGATGGGGCTGTGAGCTCCCCCATGGCAGGAGCGTGGGAACTAGATGATTTTTAAGGTCCCTTGCAACCCAAACCATTCTATGATTCTGTGATTCACTAAACAAGAACTAATACTGGGCATCAAACCATTCCACACCAGAATTTACAAAAAAGATAAAACTGGAAACTCCGTGTACTGGAAAATTAAATCCTTCCTAATAGTAATACTATCTGCCTTATTTCCAGAAGGAGTCTAAATTGCAAAAAAACAGGCAGAAATGAACAGCCAAGGAAAATGAACAGAAATGTGAATAGAAATGAATAGAAAAAACCCAAAACTTGTACTTGGGTCAATTGTTTAAAGCAAAATGCTCAACAATATCCTAAATTTCCAAATAAGAATTTTAGTTCATCCATGATATCCATTAAATGAGCTACTAAGGAACCAAAATCTTAGTATTCTGTTTACTGTCTTTAGTGTTATGTTATTGTGGTTTTTTAAGTATAATACCTTTTACACTTTTCAGCGTTAGTTTAGCACCACATAGCTGTAAGTTTACACTCAACATTTAAGCAGTTGCCTAGCTTTTGCTATCCTTTGTCACAGAGTTCAAGTTTTTAATCATTATTTGCTTTTTAACTGTCTATGTGGCAAAAATAAGGTCTGACTATAGCAACAGCTATATGTCTGACAAACAAGAACAGCACCAAGCTTGAAGACAATACCTAACCTCTCCATGATTTATAATCAGGATAGCATCTTCACTGTTACTACTTGTCCTTACTAGATTTAAATCTGCCACTCTGACATGCCTCATTCCAGATGCATTTCTAATTTACAGGGTTACCAAGACCTCAAAACAATGCTTCAAGAATTGCTCTGTGGAGAATTCATTAACAGCCAATTTAGGTAAGTTTAGGAAGCACTCAGAGTATTCTAAGAAGCCCTAGTATAGTTTTCTAGAGAAAGGTTTTCAGCCTCTCTTAACCAAATAAGCAGCAGTACAAATCCGAGCTGTATTGTGATAGACTATTTACAGGCATGCTTAGGGTTTCTAGAACATTTTAGATGAAAAGTCATTAGAGAGTAAACTCAACTTTATTTAAAGATGATAGGTCTGGAATATAAAATACTTCTTCCAATTAAAGTACTACCAGTGCCTCACGTCTCTCCTCAAAGTATTTTCAATTAACTTATTTGAGAGAAGCCAATTCATTGATTAGTTTAAAAGGTGAATTTTGTTCCATGTTTCATCTCATGCACCACTGTTAAAAAAAAAGCAGCTAATTACCTGTTTCTTTGAAATGCTTTAATTAGCTTTGGTTCCCATGGTAACAGTTCATTAAGCAGTCGTAACAACGTACCATGCAATTCCTTTACTGCTTGCTTCCGGTGGTACCATCTTCCCTGAAAACACAAATTCCATTTATTTATCATTGTGTTAGACCTGAATCTTGTTAGATTTTATTAGTACTACAATAATCCTGGTACACTAACACAGTATATGAGGAAAATAACTGGAAGAAAATAGCAAGAAGTTTCAGAGTTACATCTACACTTAAGCTATGTAAGACATTAATACTTTAACTTTTTTTTTAAACTAGAGAGATATAATGTCCCAGTTAAAAAAGCAATACTGCAAGTATGTTAATTTTTTATAGCTCAAACTTAAAACTGAAGCAGGATCCTGCAAACACACTATGTGTTTAAAATTACTTAAATGAGTAACTAGCATAGGTAGTAATTCATTCAGGTCAGGGAAATCAACCACATTTTAACTTTTCACAATCAGAGATAAAATCTCTACAGAAAATCTTACCATAATCTCATTTAAGAGAAGTGGTCTAAATTCTATCATTTTATTTGCAAAAAAAAAAAATTACTGTAATTTTCAGGGATAAAACCTCCACAGTTTTTGCATCACATTTTATTTAAAGTTCTAGATAAAGGGTTTTTTTAAAAGAAAAGTTTTGCAAATTGATCTTTTATGAAGCAACAGACTATGTAGCAAAGACCATTTTTCCTATGTAAAATCTTTAAGCTTTTAATTTAAATGTATAATTAAAAATGGTGTTATTTTCAAAATCAATATATGTAATCTTATAATCTTTCACGAAAAATCAATGTTTTCTTAAATCAGGAAAGTCTGAATGAGGATTAAAGACACTGGGAAATGACAACCATGGCAGCCATGGTGCTGCAGAACTCACTCCTTAACGCTCATAGATATCCTTAGTAAATATTTCTTCCCAAAACTTTATTCTGTAGTTCATTAGCTAAAAGACTGAACAGTGCATATATATGTAACTGTTATAAAAGAGAAGTGGTGTACTCTAGTACTTCTCCCACTCTACTAACTCTGTGTGTTTTATGTAAATGAGGATTTTACCTCTTGACTTGTCAGAGAGGATGTAAGGCAATAAAGAGACTATGGTTCTGCAAGCAAAAGAAGCAAGACTTGGGAACTTACTTATTTCATATACATATTTAGCTTTTGACAGCTCTTATATCCTTTACAGCTTCCTGTGGTCTAGCACACAAAGAAATGTAAGGCAGGAAAACCTGGATAAAGCTTGACATAGCTGCCTTTCAGTAGTCTACAAGAATGATCTTCCTAAGGACTTTTTACACATTTTAGCAGATCCCTCCAATGTACAGCAAGATCAGCTTGTTTGAAGACCAGATATCTATTTTTTATGAACAATCATTTACACGTTACATAACAAAACAAATGGTTACTCCCTCATTCTTAAATTAAAATTATAAAAGCAAAGATTTTAAGTAGAATATTATATTACGTTACCACATAATGATCACTGTTGAACACACAGACAAGTCAGCAAACTGTATTTTAATTTCCTTCACTTATGGCCAGTCACATTTGCACACGTAACGCACTGCAGCATAAAACCTGTCACTAGCCATTGCAACAGAAAACAGCCCTGTGCTCACTGTAGCCTACTGGGGCATCTGATATCATCTCCTAATGTCAGTAATCAACAGAATTAACTGTTAACATATTAATATTATGTGCACAGATTTTTCTTGTAAGAGATACAAAACATTTCATAGACAGTTTTAAAAGGATGAATTTATATACTACAGAGTACTAGTGGATTGCCTCAAAACAAAAATCAAATAGCAAAAATAAACAATACCACTACTATTGTGATATAGAAATTCTGTACATGCAGTTGATATAGTAAAGAAGGGGATGCGTGAAAATGTAGTATTAAAAAGATATGAAAAATCAGTACAAAGTAAAAACGTGAAATTATTAATTTCTAAGACTAACTGGTCTTTAATTAAGCCAAGATTGCAGCTTACATAGAAAAAAAGAGTATTTATGAATATCAGCAGACTGAGTAAATGAAGTGGTAAATGTATCAGGCAGCCAGATACAAGTAGAACATTTAGTCAAGGACAGACTTCAAGGCTTTATTGGCTTCATTAACACTTCACAGAAGAACAAGTATGAACAAATGTAAGTCACTTTTCTCCTTGATTACAAAAATGAACAAAAAACCTAACCAATCCCTGCACCCAGAATTCTAGAATTCTAGGAGGCCTGTTCCTAGTAAGTGTCCTCCATGATTCAACACCAGTCCAGCATTAAGTTAATCATCAGTGACTTGGATGACAGGACAGATGCCTCCTCAGCCAATTTGCCGAGGACACAAAGTTGGGAGGAGTGACCAATACCCCAGGGGGCTGTGCAGACCTTCAGAAAGATCTTGACAGGTTGGAAAGATGGGCAGAGAAGAACCGTCTGAAATTCAACAAAAGCAAATGCAGGGTCCTGCACCTGGGGATGAATAATCTCAGGCATCAGTACAGGCTGGGGGCTGACCTGCTGGAGAGCAGCTCTGCAGAGAAGGACCTGGGGTCCTGGTGAACAACAAGCTGTCCATGAGCCAGCAGTGTGTCCTTGTGGCCTGGAAGGCCAATGGTGTCCTGGAGTGCATTAGGAAGAGCACTGGCAGCAGGTTGAGGGAGGTGATCCTGTCCTTCCACTCAGCTCTAGGGAGGCCACATCTGAAGTGCTGTGTCCAGCTCTGGGCTCCTCAGTACAACAGAGACATGGAGCTCCTGTAGCAAGTCCAGTGGAGGGTGACAAAGATGAGGGGACTGGAGCATCTCTTATGAGGAAAGCTGAGGAAGGTGGGCCTGTTCAGCCTTGAGAAGAGATGATTGAGAGGGGATGTCCAAGGCTTATAATGGAGGGTGCAAAGAGGATGAAGCCAGGCCCTTCTTGGTGGTACCAAGCAACAGGACAACAGGCAATGGGCAGAAAACGATGCACAGGAAGTTCTGCCTGAACATGAGGAAGAATTTCTTTACTGTGTGGGTGACTGAGTACTGGAACAGACTGCCCAGAAAGGTGGAGTCTCCCTCACTGGAGATATTCAAGAATAGTCTAGACACAATCATGTGCCATTGCTTTGGGATGACTCTGCTTGAGCAGAGAGGTCGGACCAGATGACCCACTGTGGTCCCTTCCAACCTGACCCATTCTATGAATCTGTAAAAAATAGTATCCACTGGATATAGTTTCTGGAAAACTCTACATTTTGATGTAAATTTTATAGCAACACAATTTTTAAAAATGTAAATTATTTCCCTTTATCCCAATTATTCATCTTTCTTACTTGGGTTTCGGAGTTGACAATAAACCTGTTAATGGAAACACAGACAAATTTAAGAACCTTCTCTCCTCAGAAATAGTAAGGACAGAACAAATATAGGTCAAATGACATTCTTCTAAATTGTGGTTCAGTTGATTTCCCATGCAAGTGTGTAAGATCTCTGCAAAGGCCAGGCCAGACGCTATAATTCCTTAAATATTAAATAGTAAAAAGAGATATGAAAAATATACCTATAACCTTAAGACACATCACTACAAAACTTAGCATTTTTTTTCCTATGCAATTTCATTTTCTAACACAGTCTTGCGCTTTTTTCCAGGAGAAAAAGAAAAAAAAAGGCAAATCAAGAATTGATAAAGCTATGACTTAACTCCCTACTTACATAGCTGCCTACTAATTTCTATAGATAACAGACTTGCTTTTACAAATGTTTGTGTTGCAAATTCTCAGAAATACCAAATGATAAAATGTAGGAGATTAGTCATAAACTGAAGCCTAGGAGGTTCAGGCTGGACCTCTGACGGTATATTTTCATAAGAAACATACAGCACTTGTTACCTGGGAGAAGAGGCTGATCACCACCTGGCCACAACCTCCTCTCATGGAGTCGTAGAGAGCAGTAAGGTCTCCCACGAGTCTCCTCTTCTTCAGGCTAAACAGCCACAGCTCCCTTAGCTGCCCTTCACAGGTCTCATGTTCCAGACCCTTCACCAGCTTCGTTGCCCTTCTCTGGACATGGTTTGAGCACCTCAATGTCTTTCCTGTACTGAGGAGCCCAGAACTGAACACAGGATTCCAGGTGCTTTGATTTCTACCAGTGCCAAGTACAGGGGGACAATCACTTCCCTGGTCCTGCTGGAGACACTATTTCTGATGTGGGCCTGGATGCCATCGGCCGCCTCAGCCACCTGGACACACCACTGGCTCATGTTCAGCCATGGCTGACCAGCACCTCCAGGTCCTTTTTTTACTGGGACACTTTCAGCTACTCCTCCCCCAGCTTGTAGCGCTGTCTGGGGTTTCTGTGACTCAAGTGCAGGACAGGGCACTTGGCCTTGTTGAACCTCACAGCATTGGCCTTGGCCCATTAATCCAGTCTGTCCAGATCCCTCCAGAGAGCCTTCCTACCCTCCAGCAGATCAACACTCCTGCCCAGCTTGGTGTTGTCTCTGAAATGGCTGAGGGTGCCCTTGCCCAGATAATTCAGAATGATATTAAACAGAATTTAGTTACCATCTTGTTCCAGGTAGTAGACAACCAAAACATTACTTTTTTTTTGGAAACACAATATAGGGTATTAACAACAGGAAAACAAGAGAAAAGAAGGCCTAGACAGAGGACAAGTATAAAATGTGATTTTGAGCTGTGTCAAGTTACAAGCAAATTTTAAAAATGCAAACATAATAAAAATACTTTTTAGAAATATGCTGAATGTTTCCATATAAACACAAAGAGATATTCAACACATTCTCAACTGAAAACCTACCTTTTAAAACAAGGTTTCTGACATCCAGAGCAGCCAGGAAATGCTGACTCCACTCTCTGTGATTGATGCCCCAACATACACTATGCTGGCATACTCATCATTGAATCCCAAAGCAGACTGGAGCCAGGATATTGATATATGGTATAAGGACTGAACTTTATATGGGAGTTTTTGTTTTGTTTTTAAATAAACACACACACACAACACCACAATATTTTGCAGTTTTATAAGATTTTCTGTCATCTTTACTTTATATTCCAGGGACATAAAGTAAA